TTTAAAAAAAAATAAAACCGACTTCAAATGCNAAACCTCGTCACCTTTGACAAACCAGACGAGACAGCAACTACTAGAACGGAAGGTTAGTGTAACATTTTATCTTCTGGAACACTTTAAACCTTGTCAATTACGTGAACTCAGGTTCAACAAGTCATCATCTCTAAGGATTTTGTCGGTAAATACGAAATCTATACGACTCAACAAATGCCTATAACGGTAAGCTTGATCTCCAGTGAGGGCTCATCACAACTCGACCCCACAGAACCGATCCAATACACAAGACTCCAGCTCAGCATCTCTTAACAACCATCTGGATGTCTAAAAAATATCAGAAATCATAATCAGCGATGGGGGATTTCTCATTCTTTCATTCATTTCGTGTGCGTTCACTAATTTTGCTATCGGACAATCAAAGCATAGCCTATACTCGAAACTAAGGGAGAAAGGGGCACATTCAGAGCCTCTATTGGAACTGTCTCTCTAACTTTTCAACTTGAAAAACATCACCTCCTTTCGGTTCAGTCGGGTAAAAATAGCTCTGACAGCGCAAAATATTATCTCCCAGGTCGATTCAATCAAATTTATCTGACGATCTAGGTCAATTTACGGGGAAAACAACCTACTTAGTGGCATCTCCTGGGTTCAAATCCAAAGGTAAATANGAGAACCTCCTCCTTTTTTTGAAGTCGGTTGAAAAATATCAGAAATCTATTTACTTTCACTTCATCTCTTTTTCAATGTTTGATTTTTAATAATTCAACCCGTATCTTTTAAGCCGGACGGGTGTAACGCGTAATAGAATGTATCGTGTGGTGTGTAATGTAATGGAAATAGTATGGGCAGCACTTTACATAATTATAATGCTCGTAGTGCCGTCCACACGTAGAATTCATGTTACATTACAAGTAATCGTACATTACACATTACACCCGTCTGGACCCGGCTTTAGAGCCACTAGAAAAACAAATCTTCTAAAATAATTCATTTCGACGCTGATTCACAAAAAAAGGCAGAAACGAGCCACGAAGTCACTGACAACGGAATTAATCGCTTTGATCGTGACTACACTCGTACAGTCAGCGTCAAATAGTTCGTGACACCCAAAGTAGCCAATAAGGCTGCGTTTCCACAGAAGTGGAGCTGCGCGGAGTTGAGCGGAGCAGAGCCGTGTAAATAGGTAGGTGTTTCCACTAAAGCTGCGCAGAGATGAGCGGCGCAGGGCTGAGTTGTGTAGCTGGGTGAAGTGGAGCCGAGCAGAGCTAAGACTAGTGGAGCGGAGCTGTGAAGTGGAGATGAGCTGAACGGGGCTGCGAATACATTTTTTCACGCTTGCAATAAATTTTTCGTCCGTTGTCATAATGATAAACGTGCACTCTCGATGACGGTACAAGGTCAAACTGCAACAAACAAACTCCCGCGCCTGATGTCGCGTTACTCCTCGCAGCCCTGCTCCACCCAGCGCAACTCTGCGCATCTCCGCTCTACACCGCACAGCCCCGCTTCAACCCGCACAGCTCTACTAAGCTCGACACCGCTGTGTCACGCTTATCCTCGCGCACCTTACATTTTAATGTAAATCTTCTCAACTCCGCTAACACTGTTTCCACTGAATCGGAGCGTAGATGAGATGTGTATATTGAGCTCCGCGCAGCTCAGCTTCTGTGGAAACGCAGCCTAAGTTCGCAACACATCTTTGTTACAATTAGAATAAGGTTGTGTTGTCAACTTTTTGTCCACTTTGGGTGTCACGAAATAATGACGCTACCTGTACAGCAATAATATCTGTGTCATCATGTTTTGTGAAACACAATTTGTCCGAGCAGACACCGTGACATTATGAACTTAAAATTAATCGGATGCGGTTTGACTGTACCGGTGGACACAGCAATTATTACTAAATGTTTCAAAAATATTTACCTGTATTGTTGTCATGGTTTATAATAGAAGAAGAATCATTGCACATAATGAATATGAACGTTTTTTTTTCATATTAGTGGTGTAATTTGGTAATTTCTGACGAATAGTCAAAGAATAGCAATAAAATAACATTTTTCATTAGTCTTTACGTATCATAACACAATCGAGCAAAATGCAAATTAAAATCAATGTTTTCCAACTAGTAATTGAATCCAGAATTAACTGCTGTAGAGTTCAAGACTCTACCACTCGACCTAAAGCAACTAAAAACGGAAAATCAAAGTTTAATTAAGCTCTAAAGAAATTGATTAATAACATTTCCGTGCTAGTACTTAATTATATTAATAGAAACAAGGAAAACAAACAAACAGCTGAATAATATAAGGTGTAATAATTACAAACGCAATTAGGTCACCACCCGTAATAAATTAAGCCTGGCTGGGCGTGTCTTTCCAATGGTGCCTCCATTTGCTAATTATTTTAATCAATGTTTTGTACTGTGCCTCTAAAGGCTACCTAAAGTTAATAATATTTAATAAACTAGGCTCCTAACAAAATAAAAATAAACACTTTTTAACTCCAAATAAATGAATGTCAAACTTTTTTCTTATAAATGAGAGCTCATTATTTGATAACTCAAGATAAAATTAATAATTTATTATTTCATAATTCATAATAATTTACTTCCAATGATGAATAATAGCATATAAATTCAGGTGAATATCTAAACATCATTACGAAAAGAATGATTAATATTGTTTACATTAAATATTTTTCATTTGTAAATAACCGCTGCTGCTATTTTAGGTTGTGACACGTTAGTGTCTATATTAAGTAGGTATGTCATAATACAAAACTTGTCATAGTCAAATTAAAAAAAAAAACGAATTGATTAATTATAAATTATTCTGGGTCCAGTAGAAACTCTGCTTAGTTCAGGCTAGATGTTTCGCCGTATGAAACATAATTCCAAGGATATTTTAGCATTAAGTAGTGGTGAAAAAACACCCTAATGCCCTACCATTATCATGTTTTAATTGATATCGATTTAATGCTAACCTTGAGACAACGGCGTGTTGATGGGACAATTTCGTTCGGGCGCCAATTGAAGCAAATTGTTGGTCATTGGCTGTATTGAACAGTGTCCATCGATCCACCCACGTAGACAGTCAATATTTGAACAATGTTTACATAGAATCTATATTTGAACATAAATGTTCAAATACCTAGTTCAGATATGTCCATACATTATAATCGTGGTAGAGCGCTGTTTTGTATGGAAGCTTATGAATCGCGGAAGCAATTTTGCTCCATACCTCTATAAATACTCATATGTTAATAGCTAACTGAATTCCACTGAAAATAGGCTTATTGATTTTCAGTCAGAAAGTCCTTCGTTACATCCAATTCCAAATGTCCAAATCACATAGTAGGTAAATGAGCCATGAAAATTTAAATAACATGACTCTATTGACAAGTACTTTGGCTAGCTTTTTATTACTTTTACTTGCTACACCTCAGTTTTTAAAAATAACTAAATAATTGACGTTATTTCAAGCCTATATCTACAAACATTTCACAGTCTTTACTCAGTATTTTCTGGACTAAGATTCTCCAAATCAAAAGATTAAATTTAAAGTCCAACATTGATGTAACAATGTATGAACGAAAGTGATGTCGTCACGCCGTGCAAGTTTCTACCGCCTCACAAGGAAGCTGTGACTCACGCGCAGCCTTAACTCTGCACTTTTAAGGCCATGTCTCTAAATACAAGTGGGCGAAACTTTAAGACTTTATTACAATGGCATAGAGTCAAATATCGTTAGCACTAAACTCGTGACTGTCATTTGTTATGATAAATGATGTATGATTAAAGCGAGACGGACGAAAGTTAGAAAGGCATGGCGAGTTTGATCCGGTATTGTTCGTTTGTCTTCTTTTACTCAAAATGGTTAATAAAATAAATGGAAATAACTTCGGATTCGTTTCAAGAGTTGAGACGTTCGCTGGCCTATCCATACAGGTCGCAATCGTGAATAACAGTTTACACAAATAAGTAAAAAGTTTTCCTTTTACTTATTTAGTATCACTAAGCCCTTGAATAAGATGTTCTAAGAAGATTTTCAGTCCACCCAGCCAGATACACAACATAGCAGACTGAAGTATTTACCAACAATACAGTATAAGTATCTATTTGAATAATAGGTCTCCATTGAAGTCGCAAAACAGTCTGCGACAATTAGCACCAACAAACTGCTTGTCATTATATTTAATTAATACTCTACCCTTGTCAATGCCGGCATAATGTAGACCGCGAATGATTATCAATATCCTCCTAGATCGACAGACAAAACCGTTGTCTGCCGCAAGAAATACGGGACTGTCTCAGCATTGTTGCAAACACAATCAGCGCTTTATTAGCGGAAAAACAACGTTACATCAATCAATAACAACCTTATTCCACCGCAATAACAGTCACACGAACGGGAATTCGAATCTTTGAACCAGAACTAAGTTATATTTCCTCCGAGGATCCAACGAACGAATATCAACTTTACTGAAGAACACTTAGAATGTGTTTTTAGTTTGAAGAAAGCAACCGTGTTTGTATTGCCAGGGTCAATCTACCGGTGGTTCCCAAGGTTATGATTTATTCATGGAATCTTAACGCCCTGACATTGGCAGCAGAACCACGTGTTTTGTTGCTATGCAACGGATGAACAAACAAATAAGCACTCACTCCCATTCGTATGAGGGTTTCATTCAGAACTCAAAGGTTGGGGTTGACAGACGTAAAGTGTAAACAAGTGTTTATTTAGTGGATTTACATAAAATATTATAAGACACTGACACCGTTTTGAAAGTGTGAAATGAAACTTTTTAAACTCTCAGACAGTTCAATCGTTAAAATAAGAACTAATCAATTTCTAACGGATAAGTAAATTACGGGTCATCAAACTTTTATATATTAGTGGTTGAATGACTTCAGATTCAATGAAGATAATTACAGTCCTGTCTAATGGACAATTTTTCAAACTCAGATCGTTTTTTATCTGAATTCACTATTCACTAGATTTTCAGACAGTTAAGAGAACTCACTGGAATCTTGAAAGAGATAATTAACATGGTCTTAGCAAAAACAATAAAAATACGACTGAAAAAAACCTGAATTCATCAAACAATATTAGCATTTACAGCACAAGTACAGGTGCTATTTAAGTACATAATTGAACCAAGCTAATATACTCGTAAGTCGATAAGTCAATAAATACCTTCCAAGGAAAGTTGTCAAGGGCTATGTAATATCAGCCGGACAAGTCTCTGAATAATTTATTACTACCACTTAATTTTTCAAGGTTTTTCAAACTGCTTCATTTTCTAAGTCCATTTGAGACACGCTCGCGAGACACGACAGACCGATGATGGTGACTAGAGACATGTCTCGGTCTTTAGACCACGTGAACTGGTGGGATCCTGAGCACTGGAAGAATAGGAAGCCAAGGGTCATGTCATCCATGTCGTTGGAGGGAGCTGATCCTGCCGAAATAAGGAATGGATGGCTCACGCTGCCTGATCCGAAGGTAACATCTCTTCTTAAGGCAAATTCTTCCTCAGGTCTACTACGACTCTTTAAAATTAGTGATTTTCACTTAAAACAGTAGGCTGGATTGCAGTATCATACTTTAACTATAACAAACGTCAAAAATCTGTCAAACTTCAAACAAAAAATACCGGTTATCGTCATGGTTAAAGTTAGATGATACAACTCAGCCTTAGTGATTATAGACGAAATTTTTTTCGCCAGCAACTAAATGACATTAAAGCTTGCCTACGTAGGGCATAGGGCATAGGAATATGATGAATGTTTAAAAGATAAAGGATTTATTGAATGTATTGTTAACTAATTGAACATTAAAAACAAGATAACTAGGTACTCGTAGATACCCACCATTGCATTAGGTATGCCCTATACATTGTTCATCGATAGGTACATTAGATTAAATCTTCTTTAATTGAAAAACTTTGACTTAATCATAATCATCAAACTTTCATAAAATTTAATTGATTAACGTTAATACAAGTCTTTATTAAAATTTATAAACTCTACAGCCCTCCCTCAGTGCCAAACAATGGACTTTTGTTCCCATTGGCGAGGCATGTTTCTCAAATGATCTCGCAGACTGCGAGCGAAAAGTCTTTCCCAACTAATCAATGAACATTTTGACAAATCATTTTGTTCTGAGAATAAGCGAAAGCTCTTTGAAAATGCATTTCTTGTTTTTGCTACTTTGTTCCTTCCCAATACTTAATTTAATGTTTTGAGGTAATTGTTACATATAATTATGTAAGGTGAGTCTAGTAAATATTTTTTAAACAAAATGAAACACACTCTAGCTAGATTAATGTTACTTTATTTTGCTTGCAATTAGTGAAAAAGTTTCTAATTGGATCAGTAATTTTAAAGACAATCTTTTTTTGCGAACTAGCATTAATTTATTTCATCATAGATAGCTGATCGAAGCTTATGTAAGAGTATGTATATTGATAAAGATGTTTGTAGTAAGTATAGAGCATTGATTTGGTTGCAACAGAAAATGATTTAAAAAATGAAGCGAAACGCGAACATCGGAATTCAGCAAAGAACAAGAATTATTGATGATCTTCGCCTATGATAGACAGGGCGTAACCACCAGGATCGGGTTCCGATGGGTGCCTGTGTGTGTGCGTCCATAATCCGTGAACTGTCCCGGAATGTTGCAAAGTAGTGTGCAGATTTTGTTGCGCCCGCACATCAGTTCATCATCGATCGTTGAACTTCTAGAAAAATTCGTTGGATATAGGACAGCTCTACCACCTGGCTAAAGAACCTCTTTTGAGGGATCAGTTTTCCCTCGTTGGAGGACCTTTTGAGGAAGATGAGTGACCTAATAAACGGATGCTCAATTAGAATGGGACATTGAACACAATCTGACCACAAACGTTTGAATCTTCTTCAATAAATATTTTTCTATGCATCTATTGCGGTAACCCTCTAAATAAATAAATTTAATAAAAACTAAAATCGATAAAAACTACATTATTAACCGTTCTGTTTTCTATGCGTATAATTTCTTCAGCTACACAGCTAATACATCATTTATAGAAAGTAAACAACTTCAAGTAACGACTTGCGTCACAACTATCGATTTTAACTTTCAATTAGAATTCTCGGTTTTATTAAATAATGTAAAAAGCGTGGCCTTGGACGGTGACCTTACACGGAAATGAAAAATTAAACAGTGCCCACACAGCTATTACTGGAGGCAAATAAAAGTTCCATGTAGGAAATAAATGCGTAGGTAAGTGGTACCTACAGTCAGTTTAAGAAAGAAGAGGATTCAAACAGCCAATGAACAATAGAAACAGTCCATTTGAAAAGAAATATTTCTTTCAGTACTTAACACTGACCACATGCCTAGGTACTTGTAGCTTCGGCTTCATAAAAATACCAGCATTCTTTAGCAGTTACAGTATATTTCTGTTTTTAGATTTGTAATATCCGGATCATGTTGTTACGAACACCTGCTTCGTTTATTTTCAACTAGCGACCGCGACTTCGTACACGTGGAACCTGTTTTACCCCCTTAGGGGTTAAATTTTTCAAAATCCCGTCTTAGTAGGTAAGCACTTTTGTTCTAAAAGGAACCTCCACGCAAATTTTGAGACTCCTAGCACTTGTAGTTTCTGAGATTTCGTGATAAGTGAGTCAATCAGCGACCTTTCGCTTTAGATAACACTATTTTTCCTAGATTTTAATCCTGATATTCGTATATTATTTAGTGCGAAAGTGGGTCTAAAACAATGACAAGTGAACTAAACCTGTTAATAAAAACATCAGGTTCTATAAATCACTGCCTAATAACTGACCTCCTTTTTAATTGCCAATAAGCCTAGTTATTAGCGAAATAAAATTTACCGCTCAGTTTCGCACGTCTCCAGCTTACAATCTTACAATGGCTTCTAATTAGCACCAATGGCGACCTTGGGCTGTAATAGCGCGGTCGGAATACTAATGGCGAATTTGGAAACCATAAACGAAGATCCTACAGCGATAGCGACATTGACACGCGATGAAACTGTCAGAGTGGTCGAAGTATATTTTAGTTGATGTGGTGTCGATCGAATATGAATGCATTATGAATTATTATTGTCGCTATGATACGAGGATTTTTATATAACAAAGCCGAAACACGCTGATTTACCCTAAAGTAATGATGAAATGAATCTTCTTGTACCTTTGCGCTGACATGTCATTCGAAAGTCATTAAATCATAGTCAAATCGGATAGTCGTCTAAATACCCAAAAACAATGATACACAAAAAAATGCTTGCAACATAAAAGCTCCCTAGGTTGCCTAATTCCCTACTTGAAAAGATTTTTCTAATCTTCAAAATCGGTTTAACTTAAGTAAAGAAGTTTTATTTTTAGGCCGAGGATGATCTCATAAACAAATCGCCGAAGCAACATTTCAAGTTGATGCGCACTAATCTTGTATCAATAGCAAGTTTTTGCAGAGTTCTGATTGACCATTTATGGTGGTGAGTCACACGAGGTCTCATGCAAGTGACGTAACGCTGCCTACGGATCGCTGACTAACTCTGTTTTGACATTGCATGTTTTGTCGTCCTTTGCTGGCTGACACAGCCAATATGGACGTGCGATACAACAAAATTCTGAAGGGCACGAGTGCATAGGAAACTTTTGGACAAGCTCGCTGAATTAAGATCTTTATAAGAGTCAAGAATCAATCAATTCAAGAAAAATACTAAAAGGATTTTTTGCACTTGAATATGTGTAATATTTACTTACTTATCTCCAAAAACTCAATATAGGTACAAAAACTGTCTCTATCTTTACGGGCTTCAAACTCTACCCATTCCTTTTCTCGATATACATATTGATTAATTTACTCAAAATGTAGTACATACTTACATATTTTTTGGAAATAAAATGATTTATTGAAAATATGAAACCTCTTGATTTGGCATATTTTCGACTTCCAATCCTTATTTATTCATTAAACTTTTAGATTGCACTTACTTTATTACAATCTGTTAAACGCTTTAGTTTTGCATCGCGGTCTTGGTTGGTGTGTTTATGTGCCCGAATAAGGAATTTGTGTCGCTGCCTCGCTAACTACTTTACCCTAAATACTCTGGCAGCCAGTTTCATTTGACAGTCACCAACTGGTTTCATATATGAATTATATTCATACTTTTTTATTAAAGTTACACTTACCCAGTTGAAAAAACCCTCTCTGTTTTTTGTATTTGCCCAAGGCTTACCAAGGCAAGATTACCGAAAAACTACTTACTTATTGTTTGATCTCCGGCCTAAGGCAGTCTTTTTCGCACAGTCTCTCGCAATTTATGTTTAGTAGCTAACGCTGCACTGGTATATATTTGAATAGCTCTGAATTACTAAATAAGTACCATAATATTATCGATCCCTTAGAAATATTTACTACTAGCTTTCCGCCCGCGGATTCGCCCGCGTGGAATTTTGTCTGTCACAGAAAAACTTTATCGCGCGCGTCCCTGTTTCAAAAACCGGGATAAAAACTATCCTATGTCCTTTCCCGGGACTCAAACTATCTCTATGCCAAATTTCATCAAATCGGTTCAGTGGTTTAGGCGTGAAAGAGAGACAGACAGACAGACAGAGTTACTTTCGCATTTATAATATTAGTATGATTCTTCAATTCGCTGAAATCCATGTCCAATTTCATAACGACACTCTTCCGGCAGGGAAGAGCCTCGTTCAACCAATTTAACGCGTTAAAAAACGAAAGTTTGTCTGGAAACTTCAATATTGTCACGATTGAAAAACAATGGTCAAATTTTCTACAAAATTCCCGATTTCTTCGTGCATTTTCTAACCAGCATAAAGTTTCCGTCCTTTATCTAAGGCATTGTAAGGTCGATGTCCACTGAGTCATGCGCACGCGCCGTGTATGGCCATTGCCGCTAACGACGGCCGAATGATATTTACGATTAGATTTAGCTAAGGCTTAAGGATGCCTTATTCGCTTGGATATAACTAATTTGGAATAAGCTAGACAGCCGAGGGCCAACGCTCTTAAGTTGATTTAATATTCTGCAATGCCCACTTTGCTTTTAACATTTTTTAAGCTTAAAGGACGTAGCACACTTAGCAACCCGGAAAGGGATCGTAACCGTAGCAACTTGACTGGTATTCTTTGTATGTATGAAATTCCATACTGCAACGCCTTGCAACGCACACTTATCCGCACCGTAACGTAAACGCCTCGCCTCACGGTTGACAGCGCCCGAAAGGCAATGACAGCTCGCGAAAGGCGATACAGTGTTGATAACTTTCAAAGTTGATAAGTCTGCTGTGACCATAACAATACACAAAATTGCAAAAACTTAACTAAGTATAGATTTAGCATAAAACTCTTCTACAAAAATTAATCAAATTGTTTCTGCTAAAAAACCTGAAAACTGAAAAAATATAGAGCTAAATGATACGTTTCTATTTATAATATTAAATTGCTTTGGAGCTTGAGTTCAGAGACAGACATCGTCCAGTTAGTTTCTTGAGTCAGAAGTCTAGTTATCATTTCTTCATTGTTAATCAACCCACGCAATTAATAAAGTCATATTACATACATAGGTATATGTAATACATACTAACATAAGCAGCTCTTCCTATTAGGACGGGTTTAGTCACAAATGGTCATGCGACCAGCCCAACCTTGATCTGTATTATTATCGATTATCACCCACACACTAATTGCACATTATAAATCATACTTATCGTTATAACGTAATTCTTTCCCTTTCACTTTCCGGTTCGCGAATGAGAATGGATTTACTCAACAAAAGCACTTTCTTTAGATTTAACGGTAATGTGCTGAATTAAACGAATAATGTACAGTCGCAGAATGAAAAGGTTCGTCACCTTAGTGTCGGTTTTCGCTTGCACTAGGTACTGTAAGAGTCAAACCTGCCAACATAACTGCAAGAAACAGTGCTGCTAACATTTAAATAAATATGACGTTTGCTAACAAATAAGGTTTTGCTTGTTTATTTTTCTATCCCATCAGTGCAATGCAATGATGACATTGATCAATTGACAATAGTTTTTTTTATTTAATAGTACAAGTTTTACAAAACAATAAAACTTGTATTATTGAGCAGAGACGATGCACAGCATCTGGTGAGAGATGCGTCTACTTCCGGTGTAGTTTTTTACCATTTTATACCTTAAATGACGTCATTTCCGCAATTATTTAATAGGAATTGATTTGACTTACTTCCGTTTGCCGCCATTTTAGTCACCTGGGGGCGAGCTTGCTCGGAGTTCTTCTTACTTATTAGTATTTGACGATTTGTAAGAACTAATTTAATCAGTCTAAGCAAATAAAGATATTATTATGTTTTGATTTTGCTTGAAGTGACCGGCTAGAGAACCAAGGTCGGATTATTTTTTAGATATCACCAGTACGAGCACAGGGTGATTTTGCCGAACAAAAATCCAGCACTGGGAGGGTGCTCCTCGCACAATGCTTATTAGGAGTTTTAGCCAGGATACGCTCGTGACATGTTCAAATTCAAATTCAAAAACGTTTATTGCATGTCACATTACAATTTATATGTTGTTGCAAAATAGAAGTATACATGTTCGATGTACTTAGCACATTTTGTCATACTTATTAAGCTTCTTGATTTGCAAAAAACATTAGAATTTAATAATTCAAGCTGTAAGCTGGCTCAGTGTTGGGGGTGGCCACCCAGTCTACTAATAGTTGTAGTTTAAAGTGCTTTGTTGATGTGGTAAAGCATTTGTAGGTGCTTTATTTTATGAGCACAATGAGCCTTTTTAAATGGGTATTTATTAAGAAACTCGTACCAGAAAGAGTTATCGTTCGATTGTGGTGATGCTAACAACGTATTTTGATTGGTAATGTTTGCGATTGGGGCTGACGGGGCCGCCGTTAAAATTGTATAAGATGGTTGTGGGTACGTTATTCAATCTATTTATACAATATAGAGATTCGCGAGAATGCTCATTTGATCGAAAAGAGTGTTAAAGCTATCAGAATCCCACGTACCTCGTTTCATCGGTTTTGAATCTCGCCGGGGTCCGAGTTTCTCCGGTATCCGACGCTCTGGGTCCACCTGCTCGTCGTCCGGAAGACACTCGTCCCCTTTGGCGCCAACCACCATCACGTACATGTCGTTCGCGGTCACACACGCGCGGTCAATTGCACTTTTTAATTTTAAACTTAGTATAAGAACGTTGAGAAATAAATTATTTCAGTAAAAATCTGAGCAGAGTTTCTGCTTACGATGTTGCTATGAAGAACTCCGAGCAAGCTCGCCCCCAGGTGACTAAAATGGCGGCAAACGGAAGTAAGTCAAATCAATTCCTATTAAATAATTGCGGAAATGACGTCATTTAAGGTATAAAATGGTAAAAAACTACACCGGAAGTAGACGCATCTCTCACCAGATGCTGTGCATCGTCACATGCCGAATAATAGAAATAATAATGGCAGGTTGAACTAACAAGAAGGTTTTAGTTTATCAATCATAATAATCTTCTTGACAAGATAAATCGTCAAACAACTTTGATCTGGATAATTTTGAACTTTACTGACGAACAGTTAAAGATTATTTTCTCTAACTCGAGATTATTCTGTAACATAGTTTCAAAAGGTAATATGTGCTCGCGATTCGACGTTGAAGGAATCAATTTGAAAACTGACGAACCTTTTCATTCCGTGACTGTACGTTAAAAGGCGATCTGTTTATGGCTCATGAGTTTTTATAATAGATGTAATCCTCCTTTTTAAATTTTTACACGTGCAAAATATTTATTCTTAATATCGTTTCCATACAAAAGACACAATAGACATGGAGTCACATTCAACACAAAATTATCATTTTTTAAGAATAACGTTTAAAAAATCGCGAAACGTCCCATTTATGTGATGAAAAGTAACTTCACTGGCATAAACTGACTAAAAATGTAGAGTTAAGTAATTACCGTCTTAAGTCGTCCCTAAAATCTGAATAAAATACATATAACAGAACCAAATTTCTAAAGATGACTGACATTACTTATCACCCCAAGTGGGTTATGTTTTTACCTTCGTTACATAATGCATTTTTCAATTACACAACTAATAACAAACGAAGCAATCATCAAGGGATCAATACAGTAGGCAATTTGCGCAACCCACAGTTCATAGCTCTTGCATTTGTGTCGCATACTAATTGTAGCAAATTAGAAACCTGTTGGGCAACGCTTTGCAAATCCACTATCTGGGACATAGTTGCATCTACAACGCTTGCAAATCGACTATCTGGGACGCAGTTGCATCTACAAGTTACAATCGATAGCAAATGGAAATAATAACTGTTCGATTGCTCATAGTGAACAATGATGTTTGAAATAGCAAGTTATATGACTGTTAATTATTACTTTACTACAGCTGTGTTTATTATCATAAGCCTATTAGCACCATAGTGCTCATGTGCTCATATTATAATTACTAATGAAGGTAAAGGGGTAGGTAAAGGTTAGGTATCTACTTGTACTCTTACTTACGTTGTTTGTGTTTTAATTAATCATTGCAAAATCTTCTTCTATTAATTAGTTCTATTTGAGGCACTGCTACTAAATCAGTATAGTATTTGTTTAATACCAAAGAGCTACATTATTTAGACCAAGATCAAAGTGTAGCAAAACGCCTACATAAACTACTGACTATTCCTACATGATATTAATATTACCTGTGAGGTCTTATTCACAGGTTTATTACCGCGCTGACATTCATCCCATTGAACTATCAATCAATCAATCTTCTTATTTATAGGCAAGACCATTTCTGATAAAAAGCCATTAACTCCATATTGACGAAGATCTAGGTAGATTAAATTACGAGTTTCTTAGTAACACCATGATGGTGAATTATTTAGTTTCGTTCGTTCGTTTCACCCAAATGACATTCACTGGACAAAGGAATTCCACAACGAATCTACACAAAATCCTAAATGTTAAAATGGACACAATGCTTAAGTGGGTAGTTACTTAAGTGAGTTCCTGGAGACAACCTTGGAGACATTTTCGATTAGTCGGAAGCGAAAACAATCAAAATGGCGATTGACAGGTCGCCTCGCATCGCTGCGTAGGCGCCGACCTCCCGCCTAAAGCGGAGATCGCAACAAACAAAAAACATTTGCAAAAAACAAATGGAGGAAGCAGTCTTTTAGGCTATAGATTTGGTGGCCATACAAGGATCTATTTTATTCATCTCTTTCTTTTGAGTGATGACTCTACAATCAAATAAATACTTACAATGACTCAAGTCAGTAGACTCATTCATATGTAATGTATCATCACCTTCCATTTACGAATGACAAGACTTAACTAATAATACCACCCTTATGATCGTACTACGTATTATTCCCAAATTCTTAACCTCAAGATCTTCAAACCACGAGTAAACTCATGACGAAACTCCTGCGTTAATTTGCTCCATAAAAAATGACTTCGGGAATAGTTAAAAATGATCAGGATCAGGACTCAACCTGTGTTACCACATACTACACTGTAGAACTCTACGTATTTTCTTTGTGTATATTATCTCTTTATATGCCAATCACTATATCTAAACGTAATCTCTACATGTATGTAGTCAAATATTCTAAAAAATCTTATTTATTGCAGGCCCGTTTCCAACAGAAGCAAATGCAAGAGCGCGAGCTGAAGATCGCATCGCTATACGAAGCGCAGCAGGCGCGGGCGCTGGACCGCGTGCGACACTCCCCGGGCACAGGCCATGGCACCACCTCGCCTCCGCAGCCGCCTGCCAGCATCACGCACCACCCGGGGAAGGTAAACAATATTAGAGTTTAGCTGGTACAAATTTAAGGCGATAGCTTCAAAGTTGCTTTGCTAATGAGCTGAAGATCGCGTCGCTATACGAAGCGTAGCAGGCGCGTGCGCTGGACCGCGTGCGACACTCCCCAGGCACAGGCCATGGCACCACCTCGCCACCGCAGCCGCCTGCCACCATCACACACCATCCGGGGAAGGTAAACAGAAATAGACTTTAGCTACTAAAACTGTAAGGCGATAGCTGCAAAGTCCCTTCGCTATAGAGCTAAAGATCGCGTCGCTATACGAAGCGCAGCAGGCGCGTGCGCTGGACCGCGTGCGACACTCGCCGGGCACAGGCCATGGCACCACCTCGCCTCCCCAGCCGCCTGCCACCATCACCCACCAGCCAGGGAAGGTAAACAGAAATAGACTTTAGCTACTACAACTATAGGGCGATATTAACTGCAAAGCCGCAAAGATTGCGACGCTATACGAAGCGCGACAAGCGCGTGCGCTGGACTGCGTGCGACACTCCCCGGGCACAGGCCATGGCACCACCTCGCCCCCGCAGCCACTTGCCACCATCACCCACCACCCGGGGAAGGTAAACAATATTAGACCTTAGCAACTACAACTATAAGGCGATAGCTGCAATGCCGCTGCGCTATAGAGCTGAAGATCGCATCGCTATACGAAGCGCAGCAGGCGCGTGCGCTGGACCGCGTGCGACACTCCCCGGGCACAGGCCATGGCACCACCTCGCCGCCGCAGCCGCCTGCCACCATCACACACCATCCGGGGAAGGTAAACAGAAATAGACTTTAGCTACTACAACTATAAGGCGATAACTGCAAAGCCGCAAAGATTGCGACGCTATACGAAGCGCGACAAGCGCGTGCGCTGGACTGCGTGCGACACTCCCCGGGCACAGGCCATGGCACCACCTCGCCCCCGCAGCCGCCTGCCACCATCACCCACCACCCGGGGAAGGTAAACAATATTAGACCTTAGCAACTACAACTATAAGGCGATAGCTGCAATGCCGCTGCGCTATAGAGCTGAAGATCGCATCGCTATACGAAGCGCAGCAGGCGCGTGCGCTGGACCGCGTGCGACACTCCCCGGGCACAGGCCATGGCACCACCTCGCCGCCGCAGCCGCCTGCCACCATCACACACCATCCGGGGAAGGTAAACAGAAATAGACTTTAGCTACTACAACTATAAGGCGATAACTGCAAAGCCGCAAAGATTGCGACGCTATACGAAGCGCGACAAGCGCGTGCGCTGGACTGCGTGCGACACTCCCCGGGCACAGGCCATGGCACCACCTCGCCCCCGCAGCCGCCTGCCACCATCACCCACCACCCGGGGAAGGTAAACAATATTAGACCTTAGCTACTACAACTGTAAGGCGATAGCTGCAAAACCGCGTCGCTCTACCAACTCCATGAGGTGCAAGCTGATGATTGCGTCGCTGACTAAGTGCATCATCGCCGCCGAAGCCGCCTGCCTACATCACGTGGGAAGTTAAAGCAGGAATACTTAAACTTAGATTAACTCTACAACTTTCAGGCGAAACCTGATGAATCGCTCTCTATACCAATTCTATTCGAAACTATAAGCGCGCTCTATGCTACCAATCGATCGAAACTTTTAAGAGGGATTGATTACTCTATGAAAAGTATGGGGTGTTTTGTAACTTCACTCGAAGTTTTTAAGAACGAAGAGCCATTTCTTATTTGTTTCTTCTAACATTCCAGGTCCGCCAAATGTTCGAAGAGCGCCGCACGAAAGCAGGCATAGACAAGAGCTACCCGCTGCAGCCCATCCACAATACAGAGAGGAACCCCACCAGAAAGGCGCTGCCCAATGGCTACACCAAGGTCACGGCCACCGCCAACTCAAAGGTCGTGGAGAAGAGAACCACCAAAACCCACAGTCACAGCACGCACACCGTTAAAAAACAGCAGCATGTGAGTCAATAATTTGTACTCAATAGATTACTCTTAAAGAAATTTCTGTCATCATCATCAGACTGGTAATTCAGTCTCCACTGCAGGAACAGGAGCCTCTCCAACTTACCAGAGGCAATTGGAGGATTTTCCTCCCAAGACTCCACGCTGGCCAAATGGGTTGAGAAGACATATACGAGTATTTCCCTAGGCTTGCCTCACAGCATCCTAGGAAAGACAGGACGTGGTCCTGTTGTACTCGGCTGGAACTAAATGGCTAACATCTTCGGGAAAATTAGTTTATCTACTTTAATCAAATCACTCCGATGAACTATTGGATTGACTTTCACATATTGTTACCTACCATCAGATTTCCTTTTTTTGCAAAGTCGCCTCTATTACAATTTACAACTACTTACTTGAATATTATGCCACAATCAGTAAAATATAACAAATTATGCATTTCTTTTACAGAAAATAGAAAATATAGTAAATGGATCCGGAGATCTCAACCACAATCACGAACCGGATCTAAATCGAACAAAACACAATATGGTAAGTCACGCAACTCCTAAAAGCAATAATTACCTTGCATGTTAAATTCTAACGTGATAAATAATTCATAAACGATTAGGAATACATGTTTTTTATGTAAGTAGGTACCTAAGTATATAAAATCATAAACTACTAAACTTGGTGCCTAGGCAAGTTGAAAATAGGAGAGTTTTGCGAACAAAAAACTATTTTATATCTTCAGTGCTTGTTATCGAGTTTGGTTCTACATCATAACACAAAAATCATAACTCGAAAACTATCAAAAGTCGCGGTGATTGGGGTAGCCCTAGTGATGCTCTACCTCTGGGCTTCGGCTTGACACAATTTTTTGGGACGTAAGTAGGTACCCTGTATAAGTAACATACATAATATTGTGTTTTTTCCACCTTACTCAGGAACGTAACGAGTAACTGTAATTTTCTAATCGATAGAGTCGCATAAATCTACTATTTGTATGTAACGAACATAGCGAGGCGAACACGATCTCTACTCAAAATGAAATATAAAGTAGTTTATTTTTCACTCCTTCTTGCAACATAATACTCGTACATAAGTACAACGTAAATTACTATCTTTTCAAGATGGTTCGTGCAGAAAGAATAGTTACCAGCTCATGTTCTGTAGATGTAGAGCATGACACACGCTGAGTTATTAGAGCCATTTTGGTTAAATAAATTTTATTAACTGTCTAATATCTGATATTGTTTTAAGCTGTGTGAACCAAATAAAATATTTTTCATTCTTTCTTTCTTCTTTACTTATTAAGTCCTCTTTACTTATTTACTTACACAGCTGCCAAAAAGCAACGGCGAGCTGATCTCCCGCATCGACGAGCTGGACAAGGCGGACAACAACTACCTTCTGGAAGACGAGACGTTCCCTGAGGCTCTCGCTCCCACGCCCACGCCGCGCTCGCCCGAGCCCAGGGAAGTACGGGAACAGAAGCCACAAAGAAGGTAAGAAAATTAGAGCCTGTCCAGACGACGCGTTTTTACTCGCGAGTTTCGAATCGCGCGATAGTGAGGTACTAGAGGTTCATACATTCGGTCCACATGCAGTCGCGAGTTTTGTCTAATGGTGCGTCCACACTGGACGAACGGGATCGCGCGGCACGCTGGTCATCCTGCTCACCCTGCTCTTGAGTGAGCAGGATGTCGAGTTCGCCGCGCGAGCCCGTTCGCCCAGTGTGGAAGGCGCGAGTAAAAAAGCGTCATCTGGACACGGCCTTAGAGATACCATTTATCGACGAGCTGAACAAAACGGACAACAACTACCTTCTGGAAGACGAGACGTTCCCCGAGGCGCTCGCTCCCACGCCCACGCCGCGCTCACCCGAGCCTAGGGAAGTGAGAGAACAGAAGCCACAAAGAAGGTAAGAAAATTAGAGCCTGTCCAGAGGACGCGATTTTACTCGCGAGTTTCGAATCGCGCGATAGTGAGGTACTAGAGGTTCATACATTCGGTCCACATGCAGTCGCGAGTTTTGTCTAATGGTGCGTCCACCCTGGACGAACGGGCTCGCGCGGCACGCTGGTCATCCTGCTCACCCTGCTCTTGAGTGAGCAGGATGTCGAGTTCGCCGCGCGAGCCCGTTCGCCCAGTGTGGAAGGCGCGAGTAAAAACGCGTCATCTGGACACGGCCTTAGAGATACCATTTATCGACGAACTGGACAAGGCCGACAACAACTACCTTCTGGAAGACGAGACGTTCCCCGAAGCGCTGGCTCCCACGCCCACGCCGCGCTCACCCGAGCCCAGGGAAGTACGGGAACAGAAGCCACAAAGAAGGTAGAGCTACCAATATACTGATTTTTAAAGGTTTAATAAAGAAGTTACTATAAAATGTTAGGTGCCGGTTGTACCAGACTATAGTCAGACCATGCTAATTTGTCCCAGTGTTGCCAGTGACAAAAAATTGCCGTGCTTAGTGGGGACAATTACAGTGTTCGTTTTTATAGATTCGTCATGTTTATGGAAAAGCAAACTTCGGCTGCCGTAGTCCAGCTACGAAATTTTAAGCAAGTGATGAACAAGTGATGAAAAAGGTCCTTATAATATCTAATACGAACTGAGGTCATCGGGCCACTGCATTTTCCACCTGAGTGATATAATAAGTCACTCACCGATACATTACACAAGAGTTACCTACTTGCTAAGTTTAATTTAACGTAAAATAATAATCTCCAACTAACTACCGCTGTTTTCTTTTTCAGTAGTCCTGCACCTCGAAATAGCCCTCCAAAAACCAAACCTCAACCTACAGCAGCGCCACCTAGGAGGGTCACAAGTGAAAACGCTGTAAGCAAAAAGTTCTGATCTCTTTTGAAAAAAATTTAACTGACAATTCTAAATTCAAAATATTTGTCGCAAACTGTCATTGTCATTGAAAATTTTCGTTGAACTTGTCGTTTCTCGTGTAAAATTTTAAAAATTATCGTAAATGTGAGAATTTGTGCTGATAGTGTGATGATGTGTGCAGGTATCGGACAGCAGTAGGGCCCGCGGGGCCATGCAGCGGACCGCCAACGCCGTAAGTAGAAGAAACTAATTTTTGAGTAGGCTACCTACCCTCGTGTCAGCCTAGTGGTGCGATAAAAGCATTGAAAGAAAGGTCCCGAGTTCGATTCCCGGATGGGTCATTCCGGAACCTATCGATTGGTTCAGATTGCTCTGGGTTTTACTATCCAAACACCATTTTATTTGTTTCTGAGATTTCTGTATAATTTTTTGTTATTTTATTTTTATTTCAGTTTTGTTTTGTTATTTCAGGTACCTAAACGTCAGACAGCAGTAAGTTTCCTTTACCTGTCCTCTATCCTTCTCTACATTTGTTTTCATGCAAAGCATAACAATACAATAGGCAGACGCTATTTTGATAAAAGTCAGTTGCCGCTAGCGAGTGGCAAGACCTTACACTGGTGTCACGTAAACTCCTAATCACTATTGAAAGCAATTACTTACCTACGATAGTCCTCATACTTACCGCTTCAGCGCTCACCAGTTGACGCCACTGTTTTAGCGAGTGATACCTTCTTCTATGATGCCAGCCAACTACGCGTGTACGTACGTACGATAACACGGTGTTATCGTCAGCGAGGGAGATCATAATTGTTATTTTATTTTGTACAATAACCAATGAGATCTTGTAAACCCAGTGCCCCGATTACGCTAATTTTTAACGTCTCCAGTACATACGCGCTTCTTCTCCAGTCGTGCTCCGTTTTTCATTCCAACTGAAGTGCAAATTCGGTATCACAGTAATGGACGTACTTACCTTCCTAGTATTTTCATTATCACATGAGATATTTAGCTTTACGTTTACGTCTATGCACAGATNGACCTCATATTAATCACATCACAAATCATGCGGTAATTAAGTATTCATAATAACCGGCGATTATTCATAATTTTCACATTTATCACTTTGACCGTAACATATCGATATCTTGTATTTCAATGAAATTGTGCAACCCCTAGTCTCTCTAACTAAGGTTGGCTTCCAGAGCCCGACCAAGCCGCGTGGCACGGCGTCGGCGGCGTCGGCGTCGGCGGCGGGGTCGGCGGGCGCGGGCGCGGCGTGCGCGGTGTGCGGGCGGCGGTTCGCGCCCGACCGCCTGCACAAGCACCAGGACATCTGCAAGAAGGCGCACGCTAAGAAGCGCAAGCCCTTCGACGCGCTCAAGCATAGGCTGGCGGTGAGTTTTGTTTTTACCCGACTGCGCCAGAAGGAGGGTGATTACCTGACTTGTAAGAGGATGTGCGCCACGATAAGCCTTATGAATTTTACACGACAGCCCGTCATTTTAGGAGACCCTTTATCTTAGGAGAGTTCTTCTTCTATTTTAGAAGGGATGCTAGGTACCCTTTATTTCTTCAATAAGTTCTTCCTCATCCAAACTTTCTTGTGGATGACGTGTAATGTAAGTAGGTACTTAGTACGGTTCCTGCAGAATCCCATGGATCTCGTAAGATACAACTAACTATGCGAACATTTGTTCTGCCTTTCCAACTCTGGCTTGCCAGGCCAAGTCCTCAATCAATCCGCTTAAAGTAAATTAGTGAGGACGTCCTCCTGCAGTGGAGACTGGAGAATAAACGATCTTGATGATAATTAAGGACCTGCGATTACTCGTTTAATTTAATAGGGGAAAATGATTAGATCAATCAACGATCATGGTGCTACGAGACTACGAGTACGACTTGGTACTGTATAATTCGCCGTAGCAGAGTAACGTCTTTTTTTTTTCTCTGCGCCCCATCTAAATACTTACGTCTGCCTGTGCATTGTGCGCAGCCATAATGATTTCAGTCTCAAGATTTTATTTTACATTTATGTATTTATTTGACAATATTTTATTGATGATGACCACACTCTATATAAATCTAATAAACACACATAACAATGATTGTATCAATGATTCTTAATGAAACTTTCACACACAGGGTACCGAAGCTGAAAATTATAAGGCAAGCAAAGTTACATTACCCCTATTACTTATTTTCCTGTCTAGAAACGCACTCATGTACAAAATGCAAGCTAAGATTTAATTTTTAAACTTCCTGTTTACGTCCATTTGTAATTATAGTTTATTGACTGTCTTGACTTTCTCAATATGCCTGTTTCACAATACATACCAATTACCGACGGACATAATGCACGCATAACTACGATGCACGAAAATCTTTAAAAAACGATTATCCAATTTCATAATCTTATCACTGAAAAAGAGCTGTAATTTCCATGTTCATAAAGCAAATCTTTTAAATAGGCCAGAGTCCTATTCGTTTAGTTTTTGTGAGTGTGCCTACCTTAACACTAGAGTACACGCGCGGACTACTATAGTAGACCAGGGTAACATTTTACGCTATAACTTTTTAAAAACTTGCGCCAGAGAGCTGGCATTCCAGGAAAGCCTCGTTTACTAAATTTGTCAGTAAGCCAGTAAAGCTTGGATCGCTAGTCTGCGCACTTTTCTAAAATTGGCAGTCAAAACTGCGGGTCCAGTCAAAAGCCCGAAATCACTCGACAANCGCATTTTTACATTTATTGAAAATAAAAAGCTTGAGTAAAATAGTCTTTATTTTATGAAAGTAGGTCATTTACTTACTAGGATATTTAAAAGTATGGAATTAAGTATGAATTACTAGTAGTACTATTTAACATAATGGAATAACGATCATTACTTTCATAAACATTAGGCACAACAAAAATATTATTTGAAAATAATAATGCAGAATTATAGAATAACGTCTACCGCTACATAATTATTTTAATCCACAATCAGACTAGCTATAAATTTAACAATATATCAGTTTTATCGGAATTAATTAATTTTTGAATTGAGTCACACGATATCATTCGATGACTTTGCGAATGCAGTACGATGATACGATTACTTTTACGTTGCGGCAATCACTAAAATTCGCTAAAATGACACTAATGACGTTTAAAAAGTGGCACGCTCGGCTTCATACAAATTTTGACACATGCTGCATCTATCCTTATCTGTGCGTCTATGCTTCGTTTCAACTAGCTGTCAAAACGACACCGCAATACGGATTTGTCAAACAGCTGATGTTCGTTCGTCGTCCGGGCACGTTGAAGATGAAAATTGTTAGCGTAATCGGGGCCCAGATCGGCCCGCCTTCCAGAGGCCGACCAAGCCGCGTGGCACGGCGTCGGCGGCGTCTGCCTCAACGAAGTAGTTCTATAGTCTTAAGTTTGTTTATTTGTGTAAACCCTGTTGTTCCTGGGTATTCCAGAGCCCGACCAAGCCGCGTGGCACGGCGTCCGCAGCGTTGGCGTCGGCGAATTAGTTTAAAGATTCAAGCCCAATAAATTTGTGTAAACCCTGTTGTTCCTGGGTAGGGTAAGGTGGGGCACAATGTTACACGGGATACAATGTTACAATGCATATTTCTCCGTCCCTTTCTATAGTTGTATGATGTTCAGCGGCTCAGTTCAGCAGCTCTTATGAGCTTGACAAACGTGTACGAGGTGTGTTCAAAAAGTAAGGTGACTTTTCAAATTTCGCGGGCAACGTACTTTCGATTATCGATTTTTTTGTTTTGTTATATTGGTACACTCTTCCCGAACATCTGTACCAAGTTTCAAGTGTATAGCATTTTTTGTTTGGTTGTGAGAGCCGTAAAGGTTATAAGTGTTTTGCGTGCTCGGCGATTTTTTGCTATAGAAAAATATGGATCAAAGGATTTGCATCAAATTTTGTGTAAAAACATTTAAATTTAGTGCTCCGAAACACTTGAAATGTTGACAGTGGCATACAATGAAACTGNGAACACACCTCGTATACCAACATCATACAACTAATAGAAAGGGACGCAGAAATATGCATTGTAACATTGTACCCCGTGTAACATTGTGCCCCACCTTACCCTATTCCAGAGCCCGACCACATTGTGCCCCACCTTACCCTATTCCAGAGCCCGACCAAGCCGCGTGGCACGGCGTCGGCGGCGTCGGCGTCGGCGGCGGGGTCGGCGGGCGCGGGCGCGGCGTGCGCGGTGTGCGGGCGGCGGTTCGCGCCCGACCGCCTTCACAAGCACCAGGACATCTGCAAGAAGGCGCACGCTAAGAAGCGCAAGCCCTTCGACGCGCTCAAGCATCGGCTGGCGGTGAGTTTTGCTTTTACCTGACTTCTAGTAGGATGCGTAGGCGCCACGAAAACTTTATCGATTTTACACGACAGCTCGTCATTTTAGGAAACTTTATTTTAGGAGTTCTGCCCTTTTTCACCATCAATCCCTAATTTTTAAGTGACCCCTATGGTAACACATAATATGAATTTTGTTGTGATAGGGGTCACTTAAAAATTAGGGATTAATGGTGAAAACGGGATGCTAGGTACCCTTTATTTCTTCAATATGATAAGTTCTTCCTCATGCCTCATCCAAACTTTCTAGTGGATCATTATGATCCACATGGTGACATGTAATGTAAGTAGTGCGATTCCTGCAGAATCCAATGGATCTCTTAAGATACAAATATGCGAACATTCGTTCTGGCTTACCAGACTAAGTCCTCAATTCGCCTATGGTAAATTGGGACGTCCTCCTGCAGTTGACACTGGAGAATAAATGATCTTGATGATAAGGACCTGCGATTACTCGTTTAATTTAATAGGGGAAAATGATTAGATCAATCAACGGTCATGGTGCTACGAGACTACGAGTACGACTTGGTACTACATAATTAGCCGTAGCAAAGTAACGTCAATTTTGACAGAAGTCTGGCTGTACATTGTGCGCAGCCATAATGATTTCAGTCTCGAGATTTAATTTTACATTTAAGTATGTATTTATTTGACGATATTTTATTGATGATGACCACACTCTAATAAACACACAACAATGATTGTATCAATTATTCTTAATGAAACTTTCACACACAGGGTACCGAAGCTGAAAATTATAAGGCAAGCAAAGTTACATTACCCCTATTACCTATTTTCCTGTCTAGAAACGCACTCATGTACAAAATGCAAGCTATGATTTAATTTTTAAACTTCCTGTTTACATCAGTTTGTAATTATTATTTATTGACTGTCTTGACTTTTTCAATGTGCCTGTTTCACAATACATACCTACCAATTACCGACGGACATTATGCACGCATAACTACTATGCACGAAAATCTTTAAAAAACGATACTTTAATTTCATAATTTTATCACTGAAAAAGTGATGTACTAATGTTCATAAATCAAATGGAACTCATTGTGTTCCAAATACGCCAGTATCCTATTTATTTAGTTTTTTTGTGAATGTGACAATCATAAAATAATGTTATTTTATGTTTCTTATTTAAAATGTATTTTGTTTCTGTTAACCAACTTACCATGCCCACACGAGTGGGACGATCCTCGCGAAATATTGATCCGAAAATCAAAATTACTGCTGATTCCTATTGTTGACTTACTTATAACTTGATTTCCACTCACACAATGTTTGAATCCATCATCTTTTTTCAGTATCTCGAGATGATTTTAATTTCGCTTCGCTTTGATCACTCTCCAAATCTTAAATCTGCTATCTAAAATTGAACCTTAACCCCAGGGCACAGAGGCGGAGCCGTTCATCAGCAAGCTTCGCAAGGGCGCCGCGTCGAGCAACAAGGTGCCGACGGCCAAGCCTCTCAACAACAACTGGCGTCAGAAGCACGAAGAGTTCATCCAGGCCATCCGCGCTGCTAAGCAGGTGCAAGCGCATCTTAACGCTGGCGGTGAGCACGTCAAACTTTACTGTCATTCTTTGTCTTTTCAACAGGTTTCTTCTTCCCGAAATCGATTGGATATAGCCATCAGAATTATTCAGTTTTGATCCCTTGACCAACTTGCAATTATAACTACATTAAATTACAACTTGCAGATAAATTGTATTTCTGAATATTATTTTTAAGGTCATGGTCGCAACAATATACTTTTAATAATATGATAATGTCGGCCGTTACCATAAAATATGCGTACTCTGCGGGGGTTTACTTGACTCCATTTCAGCGTAAGCAAATTGAATACTAATTCTGTTTTCAGGGACAGAATGAAGTGTTTTTTAAAAATAGTTTGAGAATAATGTAAGATAAAATCAGTCAATACCAAACGAGAGAAGCTTACCCACCGCCAGATGTAATTACTTTCACATATTTGCACCCAATATTACACCTTATTTTTTATACTTTGTTTGATGCAACCCTCAATTCCAGGAAAACTCAGCGACCTGCCTCCACCACCGCCGTCCGAGAATCCCGACTATATCCAGTGTCCGCACTGCAGCCGGCGCTTCAACAAGGCAGCCGCTGAGCGCCACATTCCCAAGTGCGCCAGTTTCCAGTTTAACAAGCCCAAGCCCAACGCCAGGAAGCGGTAACGGGACACATAAACACACGCTCCAGAAGTGGCTGGTGTATTTCAAGCTCATCGTCACCTGTGATTGGCTGCCGGCGACCCTTTGGCGACTCTTGTAACTAAACGGTCTATCTTAAACCTTATAACTGTCAGTTTTTAAAATTGGAAGCCACGCCCATTCAATTGTTTCTTAAACTCTTCTTCAGTGCTGGGTGGTGTATCATCGTCACCTGGATTTGCTGCCAGTAACTATTTGGCGACTCTTGTAACCGACAGACTATTTAAAATCGGAACCACTCGGCTGCCGGCCACTACTAAGCAATTATTGTAACTGTCAATTTGAAATCGGAAGCCACGCCCATTTTCTGAAACCACGCCCCACTTCTCAAACCTCGTTTATTACCCAGGATTGACTGTTTTGTCCTGTCAAAGTCTAAGACTATTTAAAATCGGAAGCCACTCCCATTCCACCACTTCTTCTCAAACTTTGTTTATTCTTCCCCATTGGCTAGAGTAGACTGTTCTGTCCTGTTAAACGTCCACCAGTTTGAACTTCGAGTGGAGTTCTGATCTCAGAGATGCCCGACTTGGAACTAGATAACAAGGATGTCGCATCTAACTGGTACGTCGACTCGCTAATACAAATCCTGTTCACGTACGCGCTCTTTTACTTGGTGAAGTCGTTTTATGACATCATCAGCCCTAATCTGCCTAACTAACAATGGAGTCGTATCCTCGACCGCCCCAAATGCCCCCAAAGGGGGGTACTTTTTGTCTAGCCGACTTTTTACTAAGAATGTGTCTTGCAACTGTCGTGTACTACTCTATTTGGACCATAATCTCATACGTTCACGACTACGCGTGCTGCTATCAAAATCGTAGCGAAACTAATACCCCAAGAAGATCACGCAGAAGGTAGTTAAAAAGTGTCAGTTTAGTTGTAATTAGAACTAATTAGTACTTACAATGCCTTAAACAAGTTGGGACCTATTAATTAAGACGAATACATAACACAATTTTTAAGATGATGACATGTTTGTACAAAAGATTATGCTTTTTAAATGTTATTAATTAACTATGCAGATATTATTGGATTATTAAAATGTACTATTTTGTAATCAATTGTTTTTTTATGCACGCTTTTCCTATCTAGGCAACTTTTTAATTAAATTCTAACGAAACCCTAAAAACAAAACATTCACGTAGTGTATCGGGAAAATATAAAAATCGGAAGAATCAAAATAAAAAAAAAACAAAGATCTAAAAATATTGAATTACCGTTAATTTATAAAACAAAAAAAAAATCTCAAATAAAACCACTGTATCATGCTTCAAAGTATATTGCTACTTTATAACTTGTTCGGTAAAAAAAGAAATGCAACGAAAAGCATCACGTCACATAGGCCTAGTATACTGGCCAGGCGAGGCGTAAACGAGGGTAGTTCGTCGGNCTGTCTAAAAGTGAACCTTAACCCCAGGGCACAGAAGCGGAGCCGTTCATCAGCAAGCTTCGCAAGGGCGCCGCGTCGAGCAACAAGGTGCCGACGGCCAAGCCTCTCAACAACAACTGGCGTCAGAAGCACGAAGAGTTCATCCAGGCCATCCGCGCTGCTAAGCAGGTGCAGGCGCACCTTAACGCTGGCGGTGAGCACGTCAACCTTTACTCTTTCAAAATTATAGAAATTCTAAGCAGACCTATTCAGTCATAGTACGCAGAACTGAAGGCCGATGTGGCAGCAAGGTTCTGGAATGGAGGCCGCGTACCGGAAAACGCAGCGTGTGACGTCCACCTTCAAGGTGGACCGACGACATCGTAAAGGTAGCAGGGAAATGCTGGACGCAGGCCGCTACCAATCGATCAACGTGGAAAGCATTGGAGGAGGCCTATGTTCAGCAGTGGACGTCCTATGGCTGAAATGATGATGATGATGATGATGATGATGATGATGATGATGATGATGATGATGATGATGACCTATTCAGTCTATTTAAAAAAGTTTGGCACTGGGGTCCCGTATTATTGATAAGACAGATAGGTACGGCGGTAGCTACGCGCCTGCTGGTACAAAGCCTTTAACGACTGTAACATTTTTGACCTATTCATTAGTCGTACTTAGCATCAAATAGTAAATGTTAATGAAACATATTCGTATTTCAGCTATAACTTTGTTTTCAGGGCTAGACTGAAGTTTTTTTTTAGTTGTCTGAGACTAATTAAAGAAACAATCTAATCATACCAAGAGAAGCTTACCCAATCAAGCTTTTTACACAAGATGTAATTACTTTTGATCACTTTTTGAACCAAATGTTATTCGTGTTTATTTGTTTTCATACTTAGTTCTTTCCCTTCATTCCAGGAAAACTCAGCGACCTGCCCCCACCACCGCCGTCCGAGAATCCCGACTATATCCAGTGTCCGCACTGCAGCCGGCGCTTCAACAAGGCAGCCGCTGAGCGCCACATTCCCAAGTGCGCCAGTTTCCAGTTTAACAAGCCCAAGCCCAACGCCAGGAAGCGGTAACGGGACACATAAACACACGCTCCAGAAGTGGCTGGTGTATTTCAAGCTCATCGTCACCTGTGATTGGCTGCCGGCGACCCTTTGGCGACTCTTGTAACTGTCATCGGTCTATTTAAAATCTTACAACTATCAGTTTTTAAAATTGGAAGCCACGCCCTTTCATTTGTTTCTTAAACTCTTCTTCAGTGCTGGGTGGTGTATCATCGTCACCTGGATTTGCTGCCAGTAACTATTTGGCGACTCTTGTAACCGCTGCCGGCCATTACTAAACGACTTGTAACTGTCAGTTTAAAATCGGTAGCCACGCCCTTTTTCTGAAATCACGCCCCATTCCACCACTTGTTCTTAAACCTCGTTTATTACCCAAGATTCACTGTTTTGTCCTGTCAAAGTCTAAGACTATTATAAATCGGAAGCCACTCCCATTTCACCACTTCTTCTCAAACTTTGTTTATTCTTCCCCATTGGCTAGAGTAGACTGTTCTGTCCTGTTAAACGTCCACCAGTTTGAACTTCGAGTGGAGTTCTGATCTCAGAGATGCCCGACTTGGAACTAGATAACAAGGATGTCGCATCTAACTGGTACGTCGACTCGCTAATACAAATCCTGTTCACGTACGCGCTGTTCTACTTGGTGAAGTCGTTTTATGACATCATCAGCCCTAATCTGCCTAACTAACAATGGAGTCGTATCCTCGACCGCCCCAAATGCCCCCAAAAGGGGGTACTTTTTGTCTAGCAGACTTTTTACTAAGAATGTGTCTTGCGACTGTCGTGTACTACTCTATTTGGACCATAATCTCATACGTTCACGACTACGCGTGCTGCTATCAAAATCGTAGCGAAACTAATACCCCAAGAAGATCACGCAGAAGGTAGATTATCATCTAAAGTGACAGTTTAGTTGTAATTAGAACTAATTAGTACTTACAATGCCATATACAAGTTGGGACCTATTAATTAAGACGAATACATAACACAATTTTTAAGACGATGAAATGTTTGTACAAAAGATTATGCTTTTTAAATGTTATTAACTATGCAGATATTATTGGATTATTAAAATGTACTATTTTGTAATCAATTGTTTTTCTATGCACGCTTTTCCTTTCTATGCAACTATAAAATTCTATCGAAACCCCAAAAAAAAACATTCGCGTAGTGCATCGGGAAAATATAAAAATCTGAAGAATCAAAATAAAAAACCAAAGATCTAAAAATATTAAATTACCGTTAATTTATAAAGTTAACGTCAATAGTGCTCAAAAAACTTAATTCCACTCCTAATCTCATGTGTATCATGCTAATCTCCAATAAAACCACCGTGTATCATGCTTCAAAGTATATTGCTACTTTAACTTGTTCGGTAAAAAAAGAAATGCAACGAAAAGCATCACGTCACATAGGCCTAGTATACTGGCCAGGCGAGGCCTAGTATACTGGCCAGGCGAGGCGTAAACGAGGGTAGTTGTCCCGGCTCGTAAAGCGAGGGTACTTCTACTGTTTCGTGGTAGCCAGCGGCACGTAGGAGAGTACCACGGTGGAATGCGCCGGGACCAACACGTTGTCCCGGTGGACTTGCATGTTGCTCGTGTAGCTGGAAGGGAGAGATAGATTAATTAATGTGGGATCTCGTAGTGAAGGATTATCTAACAAGTCACACTCAAAGAGGAATCATTAATCATTTGTCATTCTTTTTATTTAGCTGAAGAGTGGTCTAATTTCGAGCATCGTCGTCGTTGTCGCCGCCTTGCTAGCGCCTGCGCACCATCGAAGCACCACACCAACACTCTTTTTAAACTAAGGCTGAGTTGCACCACCTAGCCTTACAAACGTCAAAAATCCGTCAAACTACATACAAAAAACACTGGTTGTCGTTACAGTTTGGTGGTGCAATTCAGCTTTAATAACGCGACGCTAGCCCTGCGTAGAACCTTGTGTGTGGGGGGGAGGGGGGGCTCTATAGTTTTCGATATTATAGCTTAATGTAAACTCTTTAGAGAGCCAACGTCTTTCGAGCGTCGTCCGCTCGCCAGCGCCTGCGCACTGCGCAGTGTCGTCATGACGAAAATGCTGAGCGGCTGCCGAAAACCAGATCTACGCAGCGCTGGCGTCTTTTATTATTATTTTATCCCAAAATTATTTAGCAAAGAGAGATGTAGCGCGTCGACGCTGCGCAGGCGCTGCTGGTGAGACGACGTTACAACGACGCTCGAGTTCTATAAAAAAATGGAATTTATTGCCACTCACTTGGTGTGGTCGCGCACGGCCCGCGACACGTGGTGCACGGAGAGCGCGGCCGGCACGGAGGATAGCGTGAGGTTGGCGCGCTCGAGGGAGCCGCCCGGGTTGTGTACCGCTACGTAGCCCGTGTGGCCTTGCTTCCACCTACAAACACCAGATGATGGGAATTAATAATAACCTTAGGCTGGGTTGCACCATCTTATTTTAACAGTGACAAACGTCAAAAATCTGTCAAAAAAGGACCGGTTATCGTCATAGTTACCGTTAAAGAAAGGTGGTACAACTCAGCCTTAGTTGATGCTGATAACTTTTGCGCGGTGCCTGGCAATAGCCCAAAATTGTAATACACGGCGTTAGGCCGCTTGTAGACGTCCGTTTTTTTCACCGGATAACGGACCGTGTTTTTCACCGGATTTAGCGGTGGTGTATGGTTTATAATGAACGTGTGCACATGCATCGGACATAGGTCCGGCGAGAAAATTGACAGCAAACAAAGGATATCCGTTTTTTGACGGTCCGTCGTCCGGTGAAAAAACGGACGTCTACAAGCGCTCTTAGATGGGCTAACAAGTGAAGAAAATATGTTTTGTTGATTTTGGGTTTTAAAGTCCAAAATATTATGATGGCAACAATAATTCATCTGTCATCTCGCACTAAGAAGTGTTGCGCAAACGCAGAAAATACTTTTGTGGCCAATACGGCACACTTTGGTCTCGCCAAACATAGCTTTTCTTGCTCGATAAAAAATTGGCAGTGAGTGAAAAAAGACGGAGACAACATTTCGCAGCACTCCTAGTAGAAAACACCAGCAGTATATTGCAGGGCTACTCCAAAACGCTTTTTAGGCCCGGTTTCCAAAAAGGCATTTTACTACTTCAGATCCTATCTGTGGACAATGGGCCTTACAGTAGTACACATTTAATAAGGCGCGTCGTGAATCTTCGGCCACGCAGACAAGGACAAAATTTTTCCGATTATGTTCCCCGTCGCACTTGCGCAAGCCCCGCCCATTTCATAATTACACTGCAGGCCAATTGTAACGGAATTACAGGGAATAAAATATTTATCTTTTTGCCAAAAAAAGTTTAATAGAGTATTTAAATAAATAAATAGACTTCTTAAAAAACAAATTATAAATACACTTGTGGTACCCGTAGGGTTATGTTCTGTATTTCTTTACGAGATCAAATCATAAATGAGGGAGGTCCGTAAACAAACTAAAGTCGATGACATATCCCGACAGATTTTCATGCTGAGTGACAATAGGCAGGACTCATAGTACGCAAAATTTACGGCCAATGGGGCACCAAGGTTCTGGAGTAGGCTGCATACCGAAAAACGAAGCGTGCGACATCCACCCACAAACCAAGGCGGAACGATGATCTCATAAAGGTAGCAGGAAGGCACTGGATGCAGACTGCTACCAACCGGGTATCTGATACTGAGAAAACACTATTACCTATAAGATCTTGCATTTTTTGAATAATGTTGGGATCTGCTCGAAATTGGCATTTTTTTTATCAATTGGCATTGGGGGCATTGATTTGATGGTGTAAGTGCTACTTAGAGATGAAAAAAATGAATAAGTATAACATTTAACTTAGACGAAAAGCTTTCTAAGCATACCTATACTTACAGGGTGACGTGTAATAAGTGAATAACAGGTCATTTGTAACCAATTTATTTATGTAGGTATATGCCAAGGCAAAAGTCAAGCATTTCTCAGTTTTAATCGAGACATCCTAACATGGTGTCCCGATTAAAACTGAGCGGGCGCCCTTTATTTTAATTGTTTATAGTTTGTGCTTTTTCTATCTTAGCTTAAAAGCTGGAAAATTTAAGATTAGCTACGGGATATTAATTATTATTATTTTGATTTTTTGTATGGAAAAATTACCTTGTGTTTTGCGTAGGCAAATACTTATCTAATTTGATTGCAAATGACATGTACTATAATACTTTACAAGGATGTTCACTCATTACAAGATGTCATCCTGTATACGCAAATAAAAACTTTATTTTTAACACAATGATTATTTTTAGTAGGCATGTATTTAAACGATCTTTTTAAATTAGCAAAAACGGCAATTAAAAAAATCTAAATGGTCATCTATTTTAATGATTGATCCTCTTTTTTTGACACATAAAATAAATGAAATCGATCGATATTTTAATCTCTTTAGAACTACGCAAAAAATTATTGAGATGTAAAAATTATATCTGATCGTTACTTGTTGGTCCTCAAAAATAAAAGAAATGAGCATCAAATATTCAATATTGTGATACTTTTTTAAATAATTCGATTTGTATAAATTATTTTTTGTCTATATCAAATAATCTTCAAAATAATTATGTTATGGTACTTATTTTTATTAAGTTGTAGTCAAAGGATGGAAACTATTTAAAGGCACTTGATGTTCAAATATTTATTTTTTATTAAAAAAGCATAAGTACTTAACACGTTCACACTGCGTTATCGGGTCGAATTGACCTTAGGTGCTGGATGCGTTGGTGCGGGATGGATATATTCGGTCTTTTCAGTAGTACGAAAGAAACATATTGTTTTGCAATTGTTTCGTCAAACACAGTAAATATTTGGAAAAAAAAAACTTATCAGGTCCTTACGACCCGATGTCGCACTAAAAGTAAAAAAATCCGTTCAGTAGTTTTTGCGTGAAAGAGTAACAAACATCCAGACATCCAAAGTTTCGCATTTATAATATTAGTAGGATTATTTTTGTGGGATGTATTTAATCCATAATTTAGAAATGTTAATATTTGCATGCTACATATAATTGTAGCGAATTACGATAGTGAACTTTATTTTATTTATCATAACACCTTTAATATACTGTACTCTACTAAATGGCAAATAAATATTTGAATTTCCGAATGTGAGAAGAGTGAATGCTGAATCTATGAATGAATTGTGAATGTGTAGATGTACGGAGATTGGAGGCTCACAAAAATAAAACACTTTTTTTGCCACTAAGTGTACTTTTGTCAGCAACGCGTCTACGCACTCTAGAGTATGGCGGCTGACTAACATGTGTCACAGCGCGCGCAAACATGACACGCGGCGCGGACCAATACCGGCACAGGAAGAAGACGCGCCGTGCGTGGAGTATCCCGATTGGTCAATAGCATTTCCCGCGCTACTTAAATTCGTCTTCTGCGCAGGTACATCGGTGAGCCTTATTAATTGTGTACTACTGTACGTAGGTAATTTCGAGACTATCTGTCACCATCGCTCATGCTAGCGTCTCCTTTTGTGTGAGAGGGATGGCAACAACAAACTTCGGATAGTGTTTTTCGGAGTGTATCTCCTGGAAATAACGATGGTGGTGGTGGTCGTGATGATGGAGTACAAGTTCGAGAGAAGACGCGCCCCACCAATTTCTGGTTAAGAAAAGCGCGGGGTGCGGGGAGTTTGATCCGAGCAATCCGAGCGGCATTATTGTAGTGTGATTCTCCTACTCATGGCTGATTTAGCGTGTGCTGATAACACTCAAACATTAGCGGAAGAATGGTGGGGCGTGTCTTCATGGATGAAACGATCTAGCTCGATCTCAAATTGGTAGGTTGGTAAATTGGGAAGTAATGAGGGTTTTCGCGAATGAAAAATCCGCCAGACGGCAATACGTAGACGCGAGGTCCAAATGCTGCATGATTGGTTATTTTTGACATGACATTGACAGGTCAAAATCCACCAATCACACAGCAGTCAGACCCCACATCC